GCTCTTAAGCCACTTCCTATGGTTTTATGTAAATGGATTCGCGGTTACGTGGTTCCAAAGCAGCCCTAAACAACTGGATAACTGAAAACCATAGTGGGGCACCCGACGACGTCAAGCTCTTATACAGTGAGGTAGGTACCATGACGACTTATAGCGAGGCAAAACGACAACAGACGCCAAGCTCTCATAGTGCGGCAATTTCAACGATTTTACGAAACCACGAAAGCACGACGTTCTTGCTACCGACGCGACAATATCACCACAAACCAAAAACCAAAGCATCGATAAATATCAAAAAGAGCCGCGATCCAACCTTCTTTCTAGCTGTGATCATTGACATAACAATAAGAACCATGGTGCATCGGGTTTGTGATATGATTGCGAACTGGCGTGTGTCGATAGAGGGATATTATAAATTATCATTCAATATTAAATTGCGAGGAAATTGCCATTACCAAAGGATTTCGAAGATTATGTTTCAAAATGAAGTGTGCGTGAATGTAGTCAATTGTCAACATTTTGCGTTATTTTGTAGAAAGATCATAATTAGTACTACAACAACTTCGTGAAGAAGATTTTCTTAAGGCTCCTCTGTACTCAATCCGCCATATTGGAAAAAATAGCTAAACGTTCTTATGAAATACTGCTTTTGTAGTTGCAGTCTAACAAATTCTCGATAGTGGATATTCTTTGCAATGATGAAAAGAACGGCGGTACTTAAAAAAAGTTGAAATATCGGTCTTACTTTTTAGGAAAATCCATGAATAGAAAAATCGTTTTGCGTAAATAACCGCCGTTGTAATGGGAGTAGAAAAACGTACAGCACCAATTTGGAAATCCGACAATATTTCCTATGGCGGCACTTAAAGATATTGTTTCCACCTATTATGATAACGCATATGTATATCGCGATCTTCAGAAAAAAATCAAATCGCTAACGTAATAATAGGCAACTCAAATTGCACTATATAGTCCGGAGGATTAGCAAATAATCGTGCACTTTTGTATAGAAGCATGAATTTTTGTATACGACTTACCTATACCCCAACAGTCATTTTAAACATTAGAGCCACGCTGGCTCTCTGCCAGGGGGGGCGTAGGGTGCCCATTTCAAAATGGCGGCTTTAGCAATGGTACTCATTCGGTAATACCTCTGCCAACTCGCAACCATTAGGGTTAGAACAAAATTAAAACACGGATTTTGTTGAGCACAAACTTAGTTAAAAAAAATGTTATATTGATATTTACCCTAAATGTATTGATGAGTGTGGCTTTTTTTGGGGTCAAAGTTAACCCTTATTGTTTTTCCCACAAAAAGTCGAGAATCTAGGCTTTCTTCACTCAAAATACTGTTTTTATTCATTTTTTTAGATGTATAGTTAAACTTATTCTATATATAAACTAAATTTAATTAATTAAATTAAATTATAATGAAATTGTAATTTTATATTATTTGTTTTGTCCTATTCTTCGTATAGTAGTAAAATTATACCTATGTACCTAGTTTGAAAAGAAAATTGTACCTTTAGAATAATTATTATTATAATTAATTAATTATACAATTAATTAATACTGTACTATAGCTATTATTCACGATCGCATCCACCACACTTGCAACGTGGAGTGCAAGGCAAGTTCGATTTCGTACACTTGCAGGAAGTACATACGCTGCGCTTACAGTGACATTTCACCACTTCCTTGCAAGCTTCGCTCGAGGGCTTTACCCCAGACATGACCTCCTTGGTGGGTAGCACGGAGCAGAGTCCTGAGGTAACTGTCAATGATTGCAGAAGAGTCCCATTTGTTCACAAGGGTAAATTGAGAATATTCCCCCTACACAGGATGCTCTTCGTCTCCATTTGCTCCGTGCTGCCTACCAAGGAGGTCATGTCTGGGGTAATGCCCTTGAAAGAAACCCTGTTCTTCCTGATCCAGGCGATTTCGGGTGGAAGGGCAGCAACTAAAGGTGGGAGGTAAGTGAGGACAAATTGCAGTACATCAAAATAATGAAAGTTGCAATTATATAAATTAATTGAAGCTTTCGATTCTATATCAGATGAAACGGATGGACCTGCCCCCAGCGATCGAAGCTTGCATAAAGGGAGTGGTGAAATGTGACTCTAAGCGCAGCGTATGTACATCCTGCAAGTGTACGAAATTGAACTTGCACTCCACGTTGCAAGTGTGGTGGATGCGATCATGAATAATAGCTATAGTACAGTATTAATTAATTGTATAATTAATTATAATAATTATTATTCTAAAGTAACAATTTTCTTTTCAAACTACATATAAGATTTTACTATACGAAGAATAGGACACAACAAATAATATAAAATTATACAATTTCATTAATTTAATTTAATTAATTTAATTTATGTATGTTAATAAGTTTAACTATACATCTAAAAAAGATGAATAAAAACAGTATTTTGAATGAAGAAAGCCTAAATTCTCGACTTTTTGTGGGAAAAACAATCAAGGTTAACTTTGACCCCAAAAAAAAGCCACACTCAATACATTTAGGGTAAATATCAATATACCTAACATTTTTTTTTAGCTAAGCTGGTGCTCAACAAAATCCGTGTTTTAATTTTGTTCTAGCCCTAGTGGTTGCGAGTTGGCAGAGGTATTACCGAATGGATACCACTGCTAAAACGGCCGTTTTGGAATGGGCACGCTACGCCCCCCCTGAGAGAGAGCCAGAGTGGCTCTAATGTTTAAAATGTCTGTTGAGGTATAGGTAAGTCGTATACAAAAATTCATGCTTCTATACAAAAGTGCACGATTCTTAAAAAATATCGCGTTTGTCGTCCGGACTAATATAACTCCTGAGGCGACAACTCATTACTTGAAAGGAAAACAAAAGAAACTATCTGGCATTATCCTGCACATTGTTACGCCGTTCCTAATGATATGGATTAGATAAATTAGCTAATGTTCATGAATGCTGTTGATTTTTAAATCATAATGTCACATATTCCCAAGACGAAAAGTGCACTAAATGCATATTTATTGTAGGTACATTGGAAGTAATTTTTGATTTCTAAAACCTTTTTCATTGTATCAGGATGCTTCAAGAAATTTGTTTAGGAAGGTATCAAATAGTAGCCCAATTTTTAGCTAAATCCCCTAGTCAGAATACGGCTGTACCAGTTTTTAGAAGTATTTTTGCCGCAAATTTGTTCTTGTGTAAAAATGTGGCACCGTTTTGATTTTTTGGACGAACGCATGACCACCACACAAGCGGGAAGCACAATATCGCAATTCGTAAATGCGACTACTGAGTAGAGACTAGAGGCAAGTGCTTATTTTTTCAATATGATCAGATATCAGGAATCCGATTATCAAAAAAATAAAGGAACGACAAATTTCGATTTTTACAAATAAATTGACGAGAAAGTTGCGCCCGATAGATAACCAATGACACACAGGCATTTTTTCGCCTATTAGCGGAACATAAACATAGGAAACGTCATGGTATATTATTATACAATAACAGAAACGATACCGACATAAATACAGTCCGCATAGTTTTCTAAATTTGATGTCCTTTTTTATTCTTGAGAATATTAGAAAACGGTTTTCACATTCTGAGCCTACCATTTCAAAGAAATTCGATTGCACTTGTTCATTTTAACTGTTACAAAAAATGTTTCAATGTCCCTTTTGAGCTAAATTTCTAAGCGGGATACGATAACTAATGGGCGACACTGACGAGTTTATTTAAAAAAAAGTGTCTTTGTTTTGCTCATGTCAAGTCAAGGTAGCGAGACATCACGAAAATGAATATTTGTATCAAAACATGGGCGAAATTTTGGGTTTTCCCGGTAATTAGGGGTGGGTAAAAAAATTCTCCCACTTAAAAGAAATTTCAAGTATTTATTTTTTCCGTTTGAGAATATGATGGAATCTCGCAAACTTCACATCAACTTAGCGAATATGAAATGATATCATCTCGGATCTTGCCTCTCAGAAAATAGAGGATCAACTGCGGAATCAACAAATTTTACAACTGAATTCTCAATTTAGGACAAAAAAACGAAGTCATCTTGCCGCACAAAAGATATTCGGAAAAATTCTGCATGGGTTGTGCATAAATATAAATAAGTATAACGCTAAATGTACAATTATTATTTTTTGAAAAGATAAGAATTTATTTAAAAATCGGTATATGTTATACTTTTAATCATTGTAACAGAATTTTAAATGTTAGCTACCATGTTTATAAAAAAAATACATTTTTTGTTGTTCACCCTTATATATAATAAAATAAGAGAGATTTATTTTAGGTGTTCGAAGTGCCGGTTTATTAGGTTCTACCATACCTAAGAGAATTCATTAATGCACATGTCTACCTAATAACTATAAAAATCTATAAATCAGTAAAATTGATTAGAACAAATCACAGGAAATAAAGGGATAATTAAAAATGTTAACAAACAATGCTAATCTAGTCCAAATGACCTGAGAACCAGGTAATTTACATCAGAAGGTGTCATTATAGAAAAATGCAGTAAATGCATTGAATACGTAATTTACTCAATGGTAAAAGAAATAGGCATTTGTGCATCTCCAGTCAAATATTGTACAGCTTTTCGATAACCTTGTTTACATAATTAGTCCTTGATCATTATACATGGTCTATTGTGTTTAACAATAAATGAAGAGAATATGCTGTGCAAAACTGGGAAGGATAGAGATACATCGTTGATCTCACTCAAAAAGTACATCGTCTAGAGATGTGTATTGTTGGTGGTCTAACCAATTGCAATAACATTGAAATACAAATTGACTACAGATTACCATTGTAAACTAATCAGTAGCATTACCGGTAACGGTAATACTAACGTATATTTTTAGTTTTAAGCACTGAATAATTTAAATTTTTCTCTGAACTCCCAGATCAATTTCTTACAGTCCGCCACTGTTCTTGGGGTTGTAGACATGAAGGTTGGTACGATTCCGTTTTTAATTAGTTACTTCTACATTAGATTGGTAGTGCTGTTATAGTTTACGTTTCCCGCCCTTTTGTCTGGGGGCTTCTCGCTCTACTTCCAAATTTGCAAAATTGTGTGTAGTTTAACTGTTTATATTTGTTGCTGTAATTTAAATTAAACTCTTCTCTAACATCTTAATTGTATCGTTTGTGTGTTTAATCGGGTTCATCCATCACTTCGGACTTTGAGGTTAGTACAATTTCTCTTGGTTTACTCGAAATGATTTCCAACGGGTATTAACATCATACAAGATTTATTGAACAAATATATACATAGTAATAAGCAAAAAAATGTTTGCACAATATTAAAAATATCTCTGGCGATGCAATTTTTTAAAGGTTATACTTGCATTTATTGCTCGCCTACATTAGTAACAACAGTGCAGCTTAGCTTTTGTTATTTTTTCTTAATCTATAAAATCTGTATTAATAACGCATTTATAAAATCTAAGTAGCGAAACATTTATAATCCAATAACCCTGCTTATTTGTCTTCAAAGTATCGTTACACTTAAGGTAGTATGCGCTTTAACGCTACATAAATGGACGGCATGTTGCGAAAAATAGAAAAAAGTTACAAACTATTTCTACAATTATAAAGCTTCGCAAAGCTGTTAGGTATTTATCTTGCCCTATCAGTCGTTATCACTATCACACGAATTCAGTTGTGGGTAATTTTGATTGTGAGTTATTTCGACACAGAAATTCTAAAAAAATTGCAATTGCTGTGTTCGCTACATATAAATGGGAGCCTAATATTAGTCCAACGTGTAGTATCACGTACCATTTTGTGCTTTTGTCAGCCTGAACGATACTTGTACGTCACGACAAAACGTTGAGCTCGAGCGCTTAATTAATCATAGACGAAATCGGATTAAATCGCATAATTTTCGATAACAATATCCACAAGACGGACGTCATGACGCACAATGTCACACCGCCCCAACCCAAGTCCAACGACCACGACGTCGTAAATACTCGAGCGCCTAGAAGATAGTTGGTGCCCTTGCTGCCGCTCGGACTGACTACGCCGTCCATTGTACCGTCGGGGTCCATGTTCACTTGCGGTTTCGACTGAACTCTCTTGAAGTGTATTATCATTAATGTGAAGATGGCGAATGATGCTAAAACAGATTTTTTAAAATTAGTTTTACAATGTTTTTCAGCATGAACAGTTGCGGGTAAGTATTTTCAAGCGTTTCTTGTACTGTACTTCAATGTTTGAAAAAATGCTGGGGAGAAATGTTTCTTTTACATATGATTGGGGGGATACTTCCAAATGTAGGGGTACAACCAACTAAAATTAACGTAAAGCATCTGAAATATTTGCTCGAATATTTGTATAGAGACCAGTTGGCAGTTCTGATGCACCCTATTTACCCGTAAAAAAACTTACTAGCTTTAGGGAACTCAAAAAATCCATTTTTAGACATCTTTCAGTTTTTTACTGTGACTCAAACACAAAGTTGTAGAGCGCGAAATTTCCTTTAATTTTCATTCGTAAGTTATTCTCCTATCAGGTCCATGTACAGAAAAATGTTTATTACAAACGTTTCTTTAAAACGATTGTTTTCAAAATAAGTATATGGGTTGGGGTAAAAAAGTTATTGGATTTGGATCTATCCTCATTTTTTATATATAACACACCGGGGATGATATTAAAAAAGGTTCAAGTCATTCAAAAAGATTTAAAAATAATGTAAACAAACAAAAAAAGGTTTAAATGATTAAATAAATTTCAAAAAGATTTTCAAATTTTTTAGATTTTGAAAAACAATTTTTTCAATTTTTTTGAATCCATATTGACTTGTAATAGGTATAAAAAAATTTTAAAATTGATATTTTTGATTTCTGATTTTCTATATTAACGGATTTAGTGCGGATCAGGTTATGGAGAAGATGAAAATCACCTGTGGGAAAAACAAAATAAAACAAAAGAAGTGCAAGAAAACTGAAAATTATGAAAAATAGACCAATGAAATTATTGTCTTTCTATTTCAGTATTTTGCAAGGTATTTTGATATCGACACCTACTGTTAAGTTTGTGTCTAATTTTGTGTTCTGCTGTTTGAATTGTATTTGCAATGAGTAAAAAGCCTTATGTTGGAATATTGTAATTTTTACAAAAAACGCTTCGAATACTCCGAAAAGTTCAAGTTATTACCTGCTAATAAATACATAACTCCGGTCACTAATACGGCACTAATTTGATGTTGACAAACCCCGAAAGCTCCGACCAACGCAGCGGTTCCTATGATTATGAGGCAGACCAATGAGCATGATATGGAAAGATTCTGCATTCCTGTAAACAGAAAAAAAATGCCAAAATTAATTCTTGTTAAAATTTGGAAGTGTTTATATTCTGCTGTTCGGATTACATGTTAATCTAGCGCCGGGCGCCTGATGATGGGCAATTAGTTCAAATTGCTCAGAAAAATTCAATGTTATTTTAGGTACATTTTAGACCTCGTTTTAGACACCAAACATGACAAAGAGTATATGCACTACACAGTGCACATTTCCCTTTTCAAGTTTATATTCATCGACTCGGTACTGGACAAGTACAAATTTAGGAAAGGATAGGAAAGTAATACGAGCATCATGCAGCCTTTTTGGGTCAAATTTAAAATGGTAAAATTGGTGAAAATTTAAAAATATTCGCCCGCGTAAGAGCTACGGGAAAAAAATGGTCAATTTCAGAGTTCTTAGTTTATTGTTTATGTTTATTACAAAAGGTTCTTTGCAATGACTGTTGAGTAATCTACCAAAATAAGTATACAAAGTCAGGTAAATAAGTTATCGGACCTATCCTCATTTTTTATAATGGAACACCCTGTATATTTTGATCTAAAAAGATGGCATATTTTTTGGCATATTTTTCTTTTGAAAAATACAACACATAAGGGATTATATTCAAAAAAGATTTTAGGAATTTAAAAGAATTCAAAAACATTAAAAAAAGATTTAAAAAAATTTTGAAATAATAAGTACAGAAATTTCAAAAATATTTTTGAATTTTTTTATTGTAATCTGTTTGAATCTACAGCGTGTCCACTTAAGTACCAAGCATATGGGAAACTTTTTTACTATTAATATTACGAAAACATTATCAAAGTCCTCGTGTGAGATCGAAGGGACTTCAGCGCATTTTTGTGTAGCAGATCAGTGTTTTATTAACCAGTATTGACTCCTCCATAAATAAGATCTTATCCAAGGCTACCACATTCACTTTGTCGGTACCCGCTTCCCATTTCTCGCGTGCACCCACAATTTGAGTTTGCAGTTTACTCCCTTCTTACTCGGATTTTGGTGGATTTCGCTAAAAACCCGGCACAAAATAGTACTCAATTTTGGGGTACTTCTCATCGCTCGAGCTTCTATTGGTGACACGAGAAAGAGAAACCGCGATTCGAGCTTTAAGAAACTTTTGGGTGCCCAAAGTCGACCACTCCTCGAAGCGCGCCGTGCAAAAGGTGGTTCATTTCGCTCCTAGGAAAAAAAACAAAATTCCTCGCTTTGACAAGATCTTTCCGACACCTATTTGAAAACAATCGGAGAAAAACTGTAGATGGAAAAAAACTGAAAAATCTCCAGGTTAGTATAACACGCTCGGTGATAGCGCCCAGATGTCGCCGACCCCACATCTTGTACCCCGTCCATAAAGTTGTTACTACACTACATGACCCCAATATAGGTATATGTACATTCGTCTTTTTACAAGCGTTCTTCTACGGGCTCGCATTTACTGCAAGCCAGTCAGCCATAGTGAGATTAAAAGCTACCTTTCTACAAATAAATTTGAAAAAATGCGCAAAAAAGTTATTTTTCATTAAACGTTCTGCATGGTCTGAAACGTAATCTGCAACCGTCAGATATCAAATTTTTTGAGTCGTGTACGAGGCAAGTATGTCAAATATGAATTTTTCTCAAGAGTAAAATACCTTTATTTGTTATTAATATCGAAAATTGTTATCAAGAAAATGTATTGTAAACTGAGTTGTAAACTAATATCCTCGCTATCTAATAAATTAAAGAAATATAGCAAACGAGCTCCTGGGTATGGCTATAGCATGTGTAAAGCCAAATTTTAAACCTAATGTTAGTTTTGCTTTTATTTAAAGTGTATATGTATGAAATTTTATTTAATTGCTTCCATAAATAAAAAAGTTGGAACTGCACATTCTACACAAAACCAAATTTGGAAAATGGCGCTACATTTGCTTTTATTCCAAGTGGCCATGTATCAAATTTCATTGGAATGCCTCTATAAATAAGAAAGTTGGCACTGTGCATCCACAACACAAAATTTTGAAACTGGCGTTATATTTGCTTTTATTCCAAGTGGTTATGTATCAAATTTCATTTAAATTCTTCCATAAATAAGAAAGTTTGCAATTCGGTCTATAAATGGTCGAGATGCGCAAAGGGCACTGTGAATGCTGATCGATTAGGCTCAACTTTTGGAATTGTGTTTATATGGCTAAAGCTATGCGCATATTGAATTTCATGCAATTCGGTTCATAACTAACGGAGATGCCAAAAGGGCCTACTTTATTTTTTGGTCTCCATTGCCAATTCACGAACTCCGATCTACAAATTTGATAAAGAATCCACCTGCAAAATTTCATCGTAATCGGTCAATTTGTTTATGAGTTATCGTGCTAACGGACAGACGGACGAACAGACGGACAGACCCCACAAAATTATACACTCGCTAGGAGCTCGTTAATAATCTGATCTCTGTTGTTATTATCAAAAAATTGGCATTTTTGAAAAGAGAATTTAATATGCTGTCTTTTTAGATTACAGCGAGGATTAAAGTATATAATTATAGTTTTCTACCTGACCCCGTATACATATCTTGAAAATGGCGGATTATTCAACAGTCGTTTTTTCTGTATTTCTTATTTATTATAGGATCATTCTGAAGTTGATAATTTTGTTATTTTCCCTCATATGGCAAATTTTCTGGCAAATTTTGATTTTGCCATTTTAAATTTGACCCAAAAAGAGCAGAATATAGGCACATTACTGTTTTGATAGCACTAACAGTTACGGAGAAAAGGGAGGTAAACGCACGTTCTACCAACTACCGCCCTTCTTTCTGGCCCCTTATCAAAAGAGGTGGTTTGGGAGGGGGGGGGTTGTGGAACTAGTTTTATCTTTCATTTTCATGGTACTCTAATGAAAGGTTTCGACGAAATGAATTAATTTCTATCAACTATAGCCTCCTCCCCGACTTATTATCGTGATCGAATAATAATAATTCCTTATATCTCAAGAACAGATTGTCGGAGGATGGTACTCGCAAATGGCAATTGGGATGTCTGGAAGAAATTCTTAAGAAGTTTTTGAAAGAGCGTTGCTTGGAAGACTTCTAGCGAAATGATGAAAAATTCTAAGGAATTTTCCACGATTTTTTAAAGCTTTCTAGTAATATTTCGAAAAACGTGTACCTATAGCTAAGAAAGAAGGTCTATCGTGGTTTCTAGTAACCGACTTCTATGTATAAACAATAATAATTGTCTACGTTTACGCTTCGAAAATAAGATTTTAATATGAACTTTTGAAGGCTTGATTTAATCCTTTGCTCGAACTTGAAATGCTCTTTGTTGCTCGTCAGATCGCTTTGTAATGTAGACAACACATGTGATGTTGACGTTGGCAATAACCATTCAGTAATAGATTCTGCATATTTTTTCAGAAATTGGCAGTATCAGTAAATATGCGAAAATATGCACATGAATGGATACATTTTATTTAGGGATTGTTTACAGACTTATTGCGATTGATATTAAATTTTGTACATATTATCCCTTAAAAACCGCCAATAAAATGTATGCACATAAGAAAAACAAACAAGTTGTAAAAAATAAAGCTTATAAGTATGTATAAATTTTATTCGCGTGGTTTAAGGGATGAGATGTGTAAATTTAATATCAATCTCAATACTTTTTACATAGGTAATTGGGGTCCAAACAACCCCAAATATGATTTCTCCATGCATATGCTTTTTTTGCATATTTATTGTTGTATAATTATTGCTAACTTCATACAGGTATGCAGACGCGCTGAACATTGGTCACGAAATCCACATCAACTCGCTTTTTCATAACCTTCAAAGATCTGGCAAGAACGTCTACATTTTCTTTCCTAACAAACACAAGTGTATACAATATGCAATGATTGGCAAAAAAAATTGTCAAATACTGTCACACACATAATGGAAAAAACTCCATCTTCATCAAAATTTGTTTGGAAATTACCTCACAATGGAGCAGATGGTTTTCATTGTTACGGCGCAATTGATAAAATAGAAAAGAGGCATTTCTCCCCGATTTATAAAAGAAAACTAATTAACTTGTCATACTCGTCAACGTATGAAGTGATAAGCATACAAGAAAAATGAAATTTTTATGTGTTTACAAGTTTGAGGCGTCATTTTCCCGTGATCGATTAGTGACAGCATAAAAATGAAATCGTCCCTCATCCATCAAGCGATATGACAGTAATTTCGTAATAAAACAATTTCAAATGGAATTGGCGATATCACGATGTTGTAATTTAAATAGCAAATGTTGATTTACATTCGGTTTATAGTCGACCACGCTAACCGATGTTGTTTTGCCAACAAAACACGCTATTGATTTGCTATTTTTTTCGCTTGCATTTATGAAATAATTTCGCCGGCGAGGTTATACAATTCAGATGTCGCCGGGCTAAATATATGAAATTATTGCGTCGCGTGCTTTGCCATTTTTTTGAAAGCCGTGAACATTTTATTTTAATACTAACCGGTATTGATCTTTTTAGAATTCGCTGACTGAGATGCATTTTGTTTTTCGGGTCTCGAAAATGCAATTTAAAAGTGATTTCTTTTCAGAAAATGCGTTAAAACGCATTTTCTGTACTTTATCAAAATGTCTTTTACATAATTATTTAAAATGTCTTGATGTCTACGTCTATTTGCTTCAATTTCTTTAAATAAATAACTGTGTTTGCTTTTTATTATCTTTTTTCAAAAGTCAATGTTTTAAGATCAAGAATGTTAAAGAAAGACTAAGAATCATGAAGCATCAAGAGTCGAGCTTCATTAAGAAAGAAAAATAATAATGTAACGTGCACATTACGTAGAAAAATAATAGGATATTACTGATAAAAATGAAATCAAACCTCGTTTTGCATCAAGCGATCAAGGACCTAATCATAAATCAAAGATTAAAAAATTAATGTTTATAAAGAACCAAAAATCTTTGATTAAGGATCATTTGCCAGATCAATGGATCCAGTAAAAGATCTACA